ATTCTCTCTCTCTCTCTCTCTCTCTCTCTCTCTCTCTCACACACACACACACACACACACACACACACACACACACACACACTTTATTAGTTTCATGTATATTCTTCCAGTTTCTTTACTTAGTGACTAAAATGTATGTGTATATATATATTCTTATTGTTCCCTTTTTATTTTACTCAAAAGGTAGCATATCATACACGTTGTTTGACACTGCTTTTTCATTTAACAATTTATCTTGCAGCTCTTTTCATTCAATACATAGAGAGCTTCTATGTAAACACATCTGGGTCAGGAAAGCCGGAGCCCACAGATAAGAGTAATTTATCAGCGCTGGTTATCAGGAGTCAGGGAGCAGCTGGGCTCATTCCAGCTGTCAGAACAGCAGGCTCGGTCTCCACGGTGGCACGCCTTCTCCTCCTCAGAAACTCTATCTCAGCCCCAGAAAGGGCCCTACCTAAAGAACCAGCCAAATTGGTTGATCCAACCTATTGAATTTACACATGGCAAAGCAGGTCAGGAGAGCATAAGGGACTTGTTCAAAGTCAGACAGCCAGGGACAATTATAGGCTGCCGGTATTCTGCACTCTGGCCCCAAATTCTCTCCACTTACCACATATGTCACAAACTTTTAGGGACTTGTCACTATCTGCAGAGTAAGTTTCAAATTCCTGTATCTAGCTCTGGTTGGTCCCAACTTAACAAGGAAGCAGGATGTGGTGTGGTGGGAAGAGTAAAAGAACTAGTTGTAGCGTCAGGAAATCTGGGTTCTAGTCCTGAGTCCTCCTTGGGCCCCCGTTTCTTCATCTGTGAAATAAGAGGCCTGAACCAGATGCTCTCTCTAAGGTCTCTTCTAAAGTCTCCAAAGTCTTCAGCTTCCTCCTCCAAAGCATACAGAAGAGAAAAGTCTGGTTCTTGCAGTTCCGCCTGTGCTCATGCTATTAACAGTTCCACCTGGAATGTACCTTATGTTTCTCTTCCTTCACATCTTTCAAGGTCCACCTTGACCTTTCCTGGTATTCACCTATTCAGAAAATGTTCCTTGTAAATGAGCTAAACACGCCCACCTCAGCACACAGAGAGCCTCTTCTTCCCTTGACCTGGATTACTCCTTCCAAAAAGCTGCAAAAATTGGTCTCTCAGACCACTTGAGTGTCTGCTCAAATGAAACTTACAAAGATGCTTTCCCTAACCATCCTTTTCAAAAACCATCTGTCTCCGATCATTCTCCTCGTTTTATTTCTCTTCGTAGTTCTTGTTATATAATTATGTTTAGTCTATCTCACCTCACTGGACTGCCAAGTTCCTTTAAAGCAGCAACATGGCATTTTTATTTAAACTTCGAACAGCACCTGACACATAAGAAGCACTCAATAAATAAATATTCAATGAATGAAAGAAATATGATTATTAATAAACAAGTAACGACAAATAATCTTGGGCTTGCTCTGTAAGAAAGCCCTGTGTAAGTCCCAAACGGGGAAAATATGAGTCAGGGAGGCAGCAAATGGCTTTGGGAGATAGATATAATCAGGCAAACAGCCAGGGATCAATCTGGAGTCAGATAGGCGGGTTCTAGTTCTAAACTCTGCCACTGTGCAAGCTTAAGCATGTCCTGAACCTCCTCTCCTAATCAGACAACAACCTACCTCACAGGTATACAATGAGCATCAGGGAAAATAATTTGTCGAAGCACCTTGTCAGGTACAAGACATCATACCCAATAGGTAGTGTATTACTAAAGGCCAGAAGTAGGCCCAAATTATTAATATGGAACAGCTTTATTTAAATATCAACTGTCACACAAAAATGTATCCATTATTTAAAAAAATACATGCACATACATGAGTGACTGTCCACTTATAGGTATACATATTTTAGGAAAAAACCACAAGTCTAAAACACACACACCAAAAATGAAACTGACTTACTAGAAAACTCTTACCTGAAATCCTTCCATATATCCTGCTCTGTAATGTGAACCCCTTTTACCAGGACTTCAAATAGCCCACTGACTACTATGAAACTGAATTTTCCAGTTGAATAAATAAACTGCAGCCTCTTGTAGAATACCTCTTAAACACATTATGCTGTCTATGGCTTCTACCCATTGATTCTATGCTGGTTAATAAACGCACGCCACTCAACCACTTCTCTAAGTTATAGCTCAACATCGATACCTAAAATAAGTTAGCATACTTGCATTTGGTGGATAAAAAAACCAAGCCCTATCTCCTCTAAAAAGCCAATCTTGATACTCAACCCACATAAATTTCTTCCTAACTTAAATACTTATGGTACTGATGGTGGGCAAGCAGTTTGTTGTTCAATCTTATACCATCTCTGTAGCACAAAAAATGTCTTCCTTCTATGGCAGGGACTATGTCACATTTCTCATGTATTCCCAAGCACAGGGCTTTCTTTGCACAAGGAAGATGCTCAGAAATACTAATCTGAATTGAACTTAAAATGAAATTGCAGTGAAATGTCACACACAAGGAATTTAGAAACAGAGTCAAACCTAGAACTCTCACTTCCTAAGTTTCAAATTTAATTCATAACCTACTAAAACAACACTGGTTATTCAAATCACTTATATTTTAATTTCATGTGTAGGCAAAAGCTCAATGAGGTACTCCATCACCAACAAGGAGACAGACCTGAACCACTTCCATGTTATACCCCACAATGCATCCAAAACATTTCTTCCACAAAACTTATAATAGTTTATTGCTCTGATGTTGACAGGTGTGCTCCCCAAGATGACTGTATGGTTCTCAAAGGCAAAATTAACCACCTAATTAATCTTTTTTCTTATCACCTGAGCCTAACACTGTGAGACACACAATAGCACTTAATAACAATGTGAGAATGTTACAGGGAGAGCATGTTAAGGAGAGAATGTTAAGAAAAAGAGCATGAGATTGTGAGACTGCCAGTTAATGTGTCCATCTATACTCCAATAATGTGTTATAAAAACCACACTAATTAATAATAAGAGAATGAACAAACATATGAAACTCGAAATACTGATGGGGTCTAATTACAAAACAATGAGTTCAGCTTCCATAATTAGTTTATCATCCCACTTGAAAGTATTTAGACCGACTCAAAAACATCATACTTCCAAAATAAACCTTTCTTGACCTCTGTCTGGCATTTTCATTGGAAAAGAAAAAGGATTACTCAAATTTCACTCATCTGCTTAAAAAAAAAGAAGAAGAAAATTTAAATCTCGTCCTAATATAGGTGGTAAAGTAATTTTTCCACAATGAGTAAACATTCTTAATTATATTGAAGCATTTCTAATTGAATGTGTTACTGAACTTTGAAATATGCATGAATTATGCTACGTACAACCTGGCAGATAACTTCCAGTTAAATGATAATCACTCTGGAATGAAGAAATTTCTCCTTTGGTTCAATTTTTTCAAGTAGCTACTAGTCAAAGTTTCAAGTTAATGAACATTCCATCTTTGCCAAGTCTGTAGAATAACCTATCCATATTAATTCTCCTAACTTTCTCATGTACAGATTGGCCTCAAGATTTGGAATCATCTGTGCTGCCATGAAGGCCCTGGTTACTTTATATTACATTCTTGTCCCAAAGCTAAAGAGTGATGGGTGCTACTGTCAGAGACTGTCTGCTAGAGGGAGGCAAAACACTGTGGAAAGACCATGGTCTTTGGAGTCAGGTTTGGGTTTAAATTGTGACTCTACTACCCACCGACAGTGTGACATTGGGCTAGTTACTTAGTCTCTCTGAACCGCTATCTCTATTTCCACATTGGTAAAATAGAAATCATTCAAACTTTCTAGGGCTATTGTGGGGACTACATTATATCACATGGATAAAGTGACTAGCATATAATAGGGACTCAATAGCATTAGTTTCTTTTCCCACTTTTTTCACAGTCACAAAATACTTATTCAACACTCTATCAGTAAGAGCAATAGGTCTGTTTCCTACTTTGGTGTCATTTTTAGACCTGCTGGCTGCCAGGTTACAGTTCATTAAAACACTTGCACATGTTCAAGATGATCTATGCCAGTTTTTTAAAAGAAAGTTCTTGGGGGAGAAAAAAAGCAACAAAAAACCAGCTTTATAAGCAATCAGCCTTTTCCTACCTTTGATTCAAGAGCACCTTTTTAACAATCTATTTCCAAAAACCTGGTCTTTGTTTCAGCTCCCACTGATTTGTGGGAATTGTCACTGTTATTAAGAGTACATAACCAACATATTTATTCTGAAGAAACTATTAGCAAAGGGAATCATTAGAAGAATCATTAGATTTCTTGGTACAGAAATCCTTGGCAGAATTCTAGATTTCCATTTATGTAGTTTACAAAATTTTGTGAATTCTAACAAAATGGTATCGATTTTTTCCCTATGAACATGGACTTCTTTTAGAGAACAATTCTTGTCTGGATTTATTTTGCTACTCTATTCTGGATTTATTGAGCTAAACATTTGCAGAAAATGAGTAAACTATTACATTAGTTGCTGTTTATATGGTTAAGTCACCACATAGTGCTAAATATCTCCTGAGGGAAAAAACCATCTTGGGATTTAAAATCAGGATGATAACTGTCCACCAAAACAGAGAACTTCTAGAGATGCCTAGCATTTTGGTTAAGTTTGAAGAATTCTACTATTTCAGGATTTTTTGTTTCTCAGACATAGTTTGCTACTATTCTTATTTTCTACTTTAGTAGAAACGTAAAAATTCCCATCCTCCATCTTTCTGGCACATAAAAGAAAGGCACTAGTTGGCATGTACTATTTTTATGTTGACAGCATGAGGTATTTTGAGCCATTTTGGTACTATCCAATATGTATGCAAGAAAAAAAGGTTAGCATATTAGCAAGCTAGAAAGTAAATTCTCACTGTTTGGTCATATAATAAGCATATTACTTAACAGCCCTACAGTCTATCTTTTGGTTATAAATAATAATACAATTCAAAAACATAAGCCATTAAACCACAGGTAGAAAATCGTACCTTTTGTGCATCTCCTGTAAAATATGCAATGGCCAGGGTGGGCAGAATCATGAACAGTGCGTTGTAATAGAGCAGACCATATTTTCCCAGCTCCTAGGATAGAAAATGATTAAATGTTTCACTTGGTTCTAGCAGATAGATATGCACAACCCTATGCAAAGTAGCATCCCCATCACACACACACACACACACACACACACACACACACACACGCGCGCGCGCACACATACACGCACGCACCCCTCCCCCACAATATACACAGCAAATTAGCCAAGTCAGAAGTTTTCAAACATAAAGAAATAACCTAAGCTTTCAAAAGAAAAAAAAGTAAACCTATAAACTTTTAAATTTATTTCAAATACATTCCTTGAGTGCTTAAGATCAGAGAAATAAAAATGACATCAACTATTGCCTCAAAATAGTAAACGGGAAGAGGTTATTTTTAACACATACGAGTACATACATCTCTACAAACACATCAACAAAGCCCTTTCCTTTCCAGAATTTAATAAAAAGTCATCAAGTTAGTCTTGGGCTTCTCAGAACCATAACAGAGTGAGTGCCATTTAAGAGAGATGGATGGACAGTCCAGACACACAGACTCACACCTAGACCAACACAGACAGACATAACTTCCCAGTGAAGTCTTTCTGAAAATGTATATGTGAAGTACATTGAAAATTAAGATTACTATATCTACAACTCCCAAAACATAGTATGACTAGTTGTTACCATGTGTTCTACGGTTCTTTCTGGAGAAGGCAAAGCCCGTGGCCAAGACAATACAAAGTCAATACTAATATTACTATCAAGTAGGTAAGGCATTTGTATTTATGATCTGAACTTCAAAAAAGGACCTGAAGTAGTTTCAGGAATACTGTACAATAGAGCAGACTCAAAATTAAGCAGATAAGGTCATCTGACTGAAGAGAAAATGTGGATAGGAAAAGAGATAAAGCCATGGTCAGTTACAAGATTTAGTTAAGAGATAAAAATACACCAGCTACTCAGGAAAAACTATGGTAACATCTATGATAAATATCTCATGTGGATCCTCACATAGGATACATTATGAGAGAAAGGACAACTCCTTCAATAACAAACCTATGACATGTAAAGCTGAGCTCCACATAGCTTCTTCTTAAAATAATGCAATCTTATACCATAATGTAAGTAAAGCAACGTGGCTCAAAGATTCAGTTTTCTGATGATCTGTCTTGATCTAAAAATAAAATTTAATATGTCTATATTCAAAGCATATAGAAGACAAACTAACAAAAAATATCTTTAAAGCCGTTGTGTGCATGCTGCAGGTCGAGAGCTAAAAGCTGGGTATATAAAGTTCATGTGTATGAGATCTAGGCCAGGGAAATCAAATGTTGTACCTGAGAGAGAAAGATCCTAATGCTCCCTAAAGTTTCCCATTATTTGTAGCACTTTAGGGAGTGAAGTCCCTTAATACATGAAGTTCATTGTTTTTCTGCAGCCCCTTCCCACACTCACTTCTCCTCAAATCTGCTCAAGGGCTTCCAGATATTTCTCTTATCCAGTTCCCTCACCAAGTCCTCTAGCACACAGCCATGAATATTTACGATCCTCTTCTCTACCCTTAGAGATCCCTTGTTTCTTTCCTATCCCTCCTAAGTATTTTTCTTTATTCCCCACTTTTTCCCTGATGAATTGACATTATCATTCCCAACACTGGTAAATACCTCGTAAAGAAGCTTTAGATTGTTACCCACCTTTGAATCTAATTTTTGTTTTACATATGCACCATTTGCTGCTGTCAGGACATCGTTTATCAAAATAAAAACATATCCTTCCAGATCAAATGCCAAGTCAGAGCTGCAAAACATAAGCAACACCTTAGTAACAACATACATTTAAAGAACATGCATTTAATTTGAAATAGGTCTGAACTACAGTATTTGCAAGAGCATATTCTTATTTAAGTAACTGAACATTAGCATTTTATCAACTACTAGTATTTCTTGATTCCTGGTTTGCAATTCTATACTCTTAATAAAAGAGTCTTCAGTAATAAGCAGCACTACACTTAAACAAACTCAATAGCAATAAACAATCATGTCAGTTAATAGCACACTGCTCTAAACTCACAGTCAGACAACAAGAACAAGAAACCAAATTCACTATTACATCTGAAGCAAGCAGAAGGAATCAGAGATCAATTTCCCAGGTAAGGAAATCTAAAAGATAAGCTGCTAACAATTCATTTTCCAAAGGTTCACACAAAAGTTAGGGCTGTTTTGCATATGTGGTTAGGCCACTAGGCAGAATTTCTGAAGCGTGGATCATGTTTAATTCTGAGATCGAGCTACAGCAGTATCCAAGTGCACATCAGGAACTCAAATACTTAAATAATTGCATAATGCACCTATGAGGTATAACTAGTTGGATTAGGGAAACTGACGGGTTTTCTAGTATTTAGTAGAGATAAGAATTTATAAAATTGAACATAATAAATGAAAATCTAAGAAAAATATGCCTTCAACATACTTTAGCACCAAGCTAAATAGTAGTGCCATATTCTGTGATTTTGCAAAGATACTACATATTTGTATCTAAATGGAATGAGGCTTTGAGGAACTCTAGGCCACTACAGTTTTAGGCGGAACTAGCCTCATGCACTCTTCCAAGCAGCCTGACAACCCCTAACTCCAGACTTCCTCCCAATCTCTTTCCCAAGTAAAAGGTTCTAATTAGTTAAGGCTGGTCCAGAGAGCAATCTTCCTCAGAAACTTTCTGCAGGCCAGTTAGCCCTGAAGAACCTCTGTTTCTTGATTCAATTTTGTATTCCACCAGCTTCAATGAAATGCTTTAAGACTAGAAGGACACCTCAAAAAGAAAGGCAGGATGCTCATATAGAATTTTTCTCCAAGGAGGCAATGATGCCTAGAGGGAAAAGCAGTCAGCTATATAATAAAATTCTAGTAACCAATTATTCTAATCCCCTCCCCTTTTTTCAAGGATGAAATTTCACTTGGAGATTCAGGGTGGAATAGAATTTGACTTACATTTTCCCCCGTCTATACCAAGAGGATATGATGAAGATAAATGAGCCAATCCAAGAGGCACACTGGACTTCCCAAATGGAAAATACATGTCAGGCAGAATTTGTGGCATTAGCAAACCCATACATACATGCTCTGGGCTGAGTGATATATTGTAGAAGGCTTCTAGCCATCATTTTAATTTTCTGAGTCTTAGGGTACATATTTTCTCCATCCACTTGAAAACTAAAGCTTACGAACAATGGAAAAAGCTTTAATATTTAATAGACCTAAGTTATGGCATTTGTGATATATCTTAAGTGAGGCCAAAGAAAGCAATTCTATTATTTATTATTCCACAAGGCAAATAATTCATTATCATTTGCCTTTTCTGAGACACTATTTTCTTTCTCAGCATGCAAAGTAAGGAATGCCACATGGTTTATAAAAGCACATAGACTCTGGAATCAGGCACGGATTCAAATTCTAGCCAGCTCTGCTGTTTACTAGCTGTGTGACCTTTAAGATGTCATCGAACTTAGGTTTTAGTTTCCTCAACTATAAAATAGGAAAATTACATTCATACCTGAGTTGTGAATACGTAACTAATAATGTGTAAAATGTCGAACATATTGTGTGGCACATAGTCTGTGCTCAGTAAGTAGGAGATAGCATAATAAATTCTAAATTACATGAATTTAACTTTTAAGAATTTCAAGAATCTGGTTTTGCCACTCTTGATCTTAACACACTCAAAAAGATACTTTTCTAAGACATAATTCTTATTCAGCCTATAAAAAATATTATCTTTATTGGTAAGTGATCATTCTTTATCAATAATTATTGATAATTTCTAATGTGTTCATAGGTTTATACAGGCCCACATCTTACCTGGCAGCTACAAAGGCTCCAATAATCATTGCAAATACAGTCATCTTAATACCCCAAGAAAAAGTCTTCCTACAAAAAAGAAATTTTTTTAAATATATACATGTGGTTTTATTCACAAAGACTCACTCATTTTATATCATAGACAAAAAAAAAATGTTTTATTTGAAAAAAAGCTATAAACCATATTTTAAATGTTTCCAAGGAACTGGATATTTAAAAGAACCCTACTAATGAAACAAAAACTTATTTTGTTATATAAATAAGTATACTCATTTTTTTTTCTTATTCTTATCATATGTTACTATTACTGAGTTTGAATTTTAACAAATCGGAATTTCTTTTTTTTTTTTAATTGGGGAATTGGGGAAGGGGAACAGACAAGTTGCTGTCATTTTGTTCTTCAGTCTAGTTGTAGAGGACATTGCTTCACTGGCCCAAGTTGGCACCATCATTGCGCTGTTCTCGGGCGAGGCAGATCAGTCGCCGGCTTCTGGACGGCCACTCACAGCAGCTGCTGGCCGCTCACGCTGGCTGCTGGCTACACACGGTAGCCCATGACAACCCACTGCAGCAGGGGCTGCAGCCTACACCATCGCCAGCGACTCACGGCAGCCCAGCTCCAGGTTGAGCTGTTGTTCAGCATCTTAGCTGTAGAGGGTAGTGTCACTGGTCCTCATATGTGGGATCCGAACCAGGGCCCTCTGGCGTCCCAAGCCAGCTCTTAACCAATGCACCACTCGGCCAGCCCCAAATTGGAATTTCTTTAGGTAGAAAAAGGTCACACATATTTGTAGTAAAGTAGCTAAGACAGGAACACTATTTAAAACCTATACTGATGGTTCTGACCTGGCTTTTCACCCAGTGGCAGCAATAGGTATAGACATTCTTGAAAGACTATCTCATGCTCAAACAGGTTTCTAATTCCAATTCATAACTTCCCCAGCTACGGTTCCCATAAACTATCAATTTCTATAGCAAAGAGAGAAAGTTGCTTAAACTTTCCAAAAGATTAAGTGGAAGCAAGACAAACAATTTTAACATTATTATTAAACAATCATTATGCTGGATACCTTTTCTAGGTGATTCAAGTTTGTTAAAGACTAGATATATTAGAAATTAAGCTCACTTGAGTAAAACTCCTTCAGCAAACATTGTAAACAGTATGGAGAACCTTCTCAGAACTGTAAACATTGGCAAGCTGCAAAAAAAGGAAAAAGATAATTAGGTAAAATAAAGCTTAACAATTTATTTTTTAACTGCTTTAAAAGGTTCTCTAAATTAGTATTTTAAAATAATGCTAATCTTTTCCTTCCATTATGGAAATTTCACGCTGGTTAATCTGTGATTAAATTAAACCCTTATTTTGAAATAATTCTTATTTGAAAGCCTGACAGGGTTGCTTTTACAAAACTAGTAAAAGTGAGAAACACCAAACTAACTATAAAATGGTAGAGATCATACATCTATTATCAAAGACTACCAACAGCCACTTTTTAAAAAATTTTACTCTGCTTATTATGCAAACACCCTGAAGGGTTACATTAGTATTTAAGAGAAAACGACTTCTTTCTCCGTTCTTTACTGACCTCCCTTCCCACCCCCAATCTTCCAAATAATATCAATGATAATCTTACCCCATGAAACATTCCTTAATTGTCCTTTTGTGGAAGTAACTGTGTCTTCGTCTAATTCCCAAAGCATTTTGCTTGCACTGATCAAACATATAGCCTCTTGCAAATATAGTTAGTTATGAATATATCTCATCTCACTGCAAAGTGCCTTATATTTAGCTGGCAATCAAAGATAGGGTGTAGATGGAGGGATGGACAGGTGGATGAAAAAAGAGCAAACTACATAAGCAGCACTTTGCAGCAGGTCTGCATTTCTTTCCAAGTGGGTAACGAGGTGGAAAAGGATGCCCCACCCATGATGAATTTGACTTCCATGGAACCCTTCCCAGAGATATTATCATAGTCACTCTGTCAGGTTTCTTGGGTCTGAAGAAAGAGGAAATGAAAAACACTTTGTCTCTGATACTCATTCTGTCTTACAAATCATCCAGTATGCCAGGGGTTTAGTTCATGTGGAAGTGGTGAAGCCATGGGTTTCTGTTAAATGGCTTTCTTATGTGTATAACTGTAATATTACACCCAATAAGTGGAGAAGCCAAGAACTGGGAGGTTAGAGGATAACAAGACAGAGTTGTCATGGAATAGAGAGCTATCACTTCTTTCTAAAACGAATATGCTGCCTCTATAGTTACATGGCCATGGGTAAAATACTAATCATATTTCAACCAAGGTGCCACCTGATGTTATTTTAACTACCTCATGTTAAAAGAAAAACTGTGAAAGTTCTCATACCCACCCTCTGATTTTGCTTGTGGAATTTGCCAAAAATATAATACTTATTAATTATATTAAAGAATTTAAATCCCCAAAAGCAGGCATATATCCTTCTCTACTATAGGTCTGGAAAAATAATGAAAATCTCCTATCACAGCATTTAATAACATTTTAAGGCTTTTATCATCAAACTGAAGGACAAAAACCCAAAAAAACCAATCTCCTTTCTCTTTAAACTTGAAGGGCTTAAACTAAAACCTTTAGTGTAATCATTATTTAGTAACAGAAGCTTTCTGGTCCTTTCATTTCCCCCCTCCCCGCCCAGAATCAATAACAATGTGTTAAATATTTGACATTCAAGTATAATTTTAAGAATACATTATATTAACCTCACTAGTAAAATAAAGTTATCCATACTTCAGTTTCTTTGTGCTGAACAGTCCCGTGATTTGGTTCCCAAAATATAGTAGAGGTAGTGGAAACGTCTAGAAAATTTAAAAAGGGATAACAAAACTCAATAATAAAGATAGCTAACAAGGTTCTTTCAAACAGAAACAGTTTTGTTTACATGATCAAATTCTTTCCCCTTAAAACATAAGATTAGTTCTCACACACAAGTTTGGCCCCCAGAAAGTACCCGAACAATATTATTCTTGGATAAACAACATTACTATGGCAGAAAGACAGAGGGAAGCATGGAGGGGGGAAAAAAGAAATAGAAATATGAACACGACCGACCAAACCATGTGGGACAGACACATCATTTCCTTTAAAATATGGTAATGCACTAGCCCACGGCTCTAATGTCAGCAGAAAAAGGGAAAGCATTTCATCTTCATGTGGAGTCAAGCTGATGTAGGCAGAATAAGAAAATAAACCCAAAGACTAATGACTTCAGAATACACTGGCTAGATTAGATGGATGTACAAAATGTAAAATGGTTGTACTCCCCAAAACGGTTCATTAATTAAAACAGAACACATGATTTCTAGGGGCTTTTTTCTTTACTTTTATTGTACTCACTGGATTGGGTAACATCAAGGCTGTAACTTTTAAACATGCAAGGCACTGATAAAAAAATATATATATACAGTGACTTCTTTTCAGAAAATAAGGTATTACTTAATTACTTTATTTATTTATTTATTTATTTATTTATTTATTTTTACCTTCCGAGGTACATTACTGTCAAGGTCAGGAAACTTGACTACTCTGAGCGTCTTTCCCACCCAGAGGACTGCCACTGTAGCCACCATCTGTAAACGGAGAACACAGATTCACTGTTCTACATATAAAGACACACACAGAAGTTCTAACGACAGAAACCACGCAATGCTGAAGATTCCAACTAACCTGGCCAAGTCCAACACAGAGCGAGGAGGGAAATCTACAAAACCGTAAAGAGAGAGAGAGAGAGAAAAAAAAGGGGGGCGTTAGAAAAACCCAAACGTTGCTTTGTGAATTCAGTTTGCATATCGGCAACCTTAAAATGCATTCTGATACAAAACACACCAATGTCAGCCCCTTATCCAAATGAAAATCGCTGAGAAAAGTCCCTGCGAGTTGTCAGGGCAACACTGACAACTGATTTTGTAGCCGCGGGCGGCCACTTGCCTCAGCTTGTTGGATTCTACAATTTCAGTCCGCTGCCTACAACGGGTTTTTGAAGGAAGTGAAGACATGGTCTCCTCAACGGTATCACACCTTTAAAGCAGAAATGCTTCTGCCTCGCAGTCCCAGTGACAGCACCGGGATCATTTTAAATGGGCTTGAGGTTGCGCACGTCCCCAGAGGCTGTCAGCGAATTCGGGGAACCCCGAAGCCCCCGGCCGCCGGCCCACGCCGCGGAGAAGAGCGGGCATCCCTCACGCTGCTCCCCGCCTAGCAGGCACCGGGACCAACAAGTCACGGAGCAACTTCGCTCCAGCGCGCCGAAGGGCCGGGTTTCCAGGGCGCTGCGCGGCGAGCACGGCAGACAGGCGCTTTCCGAACGCGGCCCCGGACGCGCGCCGGGCCGTCCGGAGCTCCGCGCCGGAGCCGGACCCCCACCCCAGGCCGGCGCGCGCAGCCGGCTCCGCCGCCCGGGCCGCATGTCAGCCTCCCGCCCTCCCAACTTTGTTCAGCTTTAACTTTGGCAGCCAAAGTCCAGGGAGCCGGCGTCCCGCGCCGCCGCCCGCTCGTCTCCGCGGCCTCGGCCGCCGCCGCCTCGGCCCTACCTGTAATTGGTGAGCACGCTCTTGTTGACCACCACGATGAGAAAGGAGCTCACGCCGTAAAAGCAGGCAGCCAGCAGCTTCAGGAACACGGTCAGCGTTTCGGCCGACGCCATCCCCAGCTCCTCCTCATGTCTGTGTGTGGAGGATTTCGCGGGGGCTTCTCCTTTAACCCGGGCATGCTGACGTCTATGAACTTCCGCCATGGCTGCGGCGGCGGCCTGTGAGGGGAGCAGCGGGCGGGCCTGGCGGCGGCGCTGAACAGCGCCGGGGCTTGCGGCGGCAGTTCCTGGGGGACTTGCGGGGCCCGGGCCGGAGCCGCAGAACTGGGCCGACTGCGCGCTCGCCACCTCGGCTCCCCGCAAGGCCGCCGCCCGTCCCCGCCCAGGGGCAGGAACGCTGGGGTTCACACCCCCGGGGACTTTGCTCGGGCATGGTGCAACGCGGGGTCACAGGGTCGGGGCCGCGCCCGGCTTGGCCTGGCCGGGGAATGGAGACGGACCGGAGAAGGGGCAGCGGAGACCCTGGGTGCGGGGCGAGTGGGAGAAGAAGCTAGGAGGGAACCACGCGGGGACACGGCAGCACCCGCAGCGAAGCACAGCCACGGAGAAACGTCGCCCCCGCGCGCCTGCGCGGGAGCCGCGCTGGGTCTCCGCGGACGCGCACCTGGGGTGGGGGAAGCGAGCGGCCGGGAGGCTCACGGCCGTATTGTCGGGATAACTACCGCAACGAAGTACAGACCCTCCTCTGTTCGGTAACAGGTGGCTGGCGGAGAACTTGGTTCACAGGTTGTGGGCGTCTCCACTCATTTTGAAGGCTCTTTTGGTCTCTTGCAGAGGGTCAGAGCCCTACAGAAGTATCAGATGTGGATCAAAAGTAAACTCAACGTTTAATTCTGCATTGCCTCCACTTTTTACATTTTCTGAACCCAGAAAACAACAAATCCATTCTTTCCAGATAAAAGGATAATTTTTGTTTTTCTTAAAGATTTTATTGGGGAATTGGGGAAGGGAAACAGCCAAGTTGTTGTCCTTTCAATCTTAGTTGTGGACGGCGCAGCTAGCTCAGCTCCAAGTCCAGTCACCATCCAGCTGCCCTCTGGCAGCTCAGGGCAGCTCAGCTCAAGGTGCCCTGTTCAATTTTAGTTGCCCATTGGGCGTAGCCCACCATCCCATGCGCGTGTCAAACCAGCAACCTTGTTATTAGGAGCAGGAGCTCTAACCGACTGAGCCAGCTCAGCGATGGGGCAGCTCACTGGCCTGTGTGGGAATGGAACAGGCGACCCTGTTGCTCAGAGTTCACTCTCTTAACCAACTGAGCCCCTTGGCCGGCCCAAGGGAGAATTTTTAAAGAAAAGTGTTGACATATCCAAAAAAGTAGCAAGATGATAATCAAGCACCTTGTGGACTGCTGAAAGAACAAGGTGTCGGGGGCTGTGTCCCAATTCCAGGTTTCCTAGAAATGCCACCTAACTAGCTGTGTGCTCATGGGACAGTTAGCTGAGCTCTCTGAGACTGCTTTGCTTTATCTCTATGGGTGTAAAGCTAGCACAGAGCTAGTTTTCAGTAAATGGTAGCCATTATTATGCAACAGAAACAAATCATTATCAGCTTAAGCAAAAAAATGACATCTAATTTTAATGTAAAGGAAGAAAACGAAGGTTGAATTATTTCCCTATTTTGCCTATATATTTTTTCTACATATTTTTGAATTGTGGTAAAATATAACAAAATTGACCATTTTAACGTGTTTTATATTATGGTAAAATATGCATGATAAAGTTTATTATTTTAACGCTTTTTGAGTGTACAATTCAGTGATACTAAGTTCATTGACTTTGTGTGCAACTCTCACCACTACCCATCTCCAGAACTTTTTCATCATCTCAAACTGAAATTATGTAACCACTAAAGAATAACTGCACCCCCATCCTCTAGTAATCTCTATTCTACTTTCTGTCTGTATGGACTATTCTAGGTACCTCATATAAGTGGAATCATACAATATTTTTTCATTTTCATGAATGACATTTCATTCAGCATGCTTTCAAGTTCATCCACATGTAGCATATGTCAGAATGTCCTTCCTTTTCAAGGCTGGATAATACTCCATTGTATGTATATGTTTTGATCTGTATCTTTTGACTGATGCTGGGAATACCTGTGTTCTAATGTTCCTTAGGAATAACTGGCACACAGGATGAAGTTCTTAACATGGTCCACAGGGCTTAGGTGTTGTGGCTCCTGCCCACATCTCCAGAGGCACTCCTTACCTTTCTTTTGCTAAGCTGCATCCAAGTCAAACTACACCCAGTCCCCTGAAGAACAATGTGGGTTCCAGTGTCTTTACTTCTGCACCTTTCCTCCCCTTATTCCCTCCATCTGGATGCTTTTTCTGTCTTCTCTCTTTCCTGTCTCCTGAAGAACTCTTCCTTCAGTATTTAAGCACAACATTACCTTCTCTCTGGGTGCCTTCCTTCATATTGCTCTCCACAGAATTGACACTTCTTCTTCGTGCCCTTCCACCCCATCTTTGTGCATCCCTTTTATAGAGGGTCTGGAATTACATGCTTACATGTCAGTCTGTTCCACTAGACAGTACACTTCTTGAGGACCGGGACAGGCACCTAGCACAGTGTAGATGTTTTTGCTGAGTGAAACAATGAATGGTATACCTTTTTACCAATGAGGAAAAGGGCCCCAATTTCTTCCATAACTGCTAGCAGAAGAAGAAAAACAACTAGAAAGTTATATTTTGAGAAACATCCTTTGTGAAAAAAATTATTATAAAAGTATTAATGTCCCTCATGCCAAAAGCAAACAAGCAAAAAAGACTTGTATCACATAAGTATATTGCCCCTCTTTCTCTCCCATCCAACCCACTCTTCAGAGAAAGCAACAGCTAACAGATTGAAGGCTATGCTTAAAGCCATTTTCTGTGTCCATATGAATGCATATACATATACATACATATTTACACACATTTTATACATTTTTAAAAAATACATGGAAAGTACTAGGTAAGAACATTGACCCTTAAGCCAGACACTGCCTCTGATGCTAATTTTGAGACCTTGGGCAAATTACTAGACGTTACTGTGCTTCAGATTTCTCATCTTTAAAATGGGGATCACCCATTTTACCCACCTCATGGTGCTAGTGAGAATTAAATGGGTTAATAAAAGTAAAATGCTTAAAACATAGCACACACTTTGCATATGTTTATACTAACGATTGCTACTATTTTCATTCAATCTTTCTCTTTTCACTTAGCATTCCTTGAAGTGCTTTCTGTGGCAATAAAGAAATTCTACTTCATTCTTTTATTAAAAAATGACTGCAGAGAATTCCATCAGCTAGATGCATCATAATTCATGTAACCCTTCCTATGGACGTTTAGGTCATTGCCAGTTCTTCAGTTTATAAACAACACAGCCTTGATTACCCTTGTCTATTCAACTTGGTACAGGTATAAGCTTCTAGAAGTTGAATTGCTTAATTAAATGCTGCATTTATTTCTTTTTAATTCATAGACTTAACAAATTGATATCCAAAGAGGTTGTACCAAATTTATATTCCCACTAACACTATGAACATAAAACCCTCTTTTGTAAAGTCACATGGCAACAATGGAGATCATTGAAAGGGGCTAGGTAGTAGTAGTTCAAGAGCTACCCTGTGGAGTATGAAATGCCAGGTTTAAATGTCTACAATAAGTCAGTTGCAATTATAGGAAGTTAAAGGAAAATAAATCTCAATTACAATTACACAAAATGAAAGAAAAATAAATCTCCCAACAGTACTAATCCAAGCAACTACTATTGTTTTTCTCAGCATGACTACATTATTTGTTAGTAAATATTTAAGATCCACCATAGACAGGCCAAGAACTGTGTTGGACTTTCTCAGCACCAGTAATGATTTGTGGACCTTCAGTAAAATGCTATGAACTCTAATGGAGTCAAGCATTCTCATTAGACAGGTACCCATAGTGTAGTAAGGATTCTTAAGAGTATCATAGGTACTCAGTCCTGTTTCCTAACCTCAGAGATATTAGTCACAGAATTATATGTGGGAGCTTTATATATTATTTGATAAAATTGAATAAAGATTAACTATATCCAAAAAAGTATAAAATTGAAAAGGCTGGATTTAATTGTTCTTATTGGTACACATCTATTTGGAAATGTCGACATTATAAGTCAATGTATTTTATATCTTGCTGGGTGGAATTACTAGCAGAAAAACCTTCTGTTTAAATCATGTCTTTTTATCTGTTTTTGCTATAGTCATCATGTTTCTCCATGAGGGAAATTGATTCTGTACATTATCTGTTAACATGACTCATATTATTTCTATTCCCTACACTTCTCATTGTCCCTTGGCTCACTTGCTCTTCTTATACTGGAATTTATGTCAGCCTTCCTTGGTGTTTACCTTCATTCACCAATTTCTGTTTCACTGCCAGGCTAGGTCATACCCAGTGCCCTGCTGTGTTGCGCCACTGATTACATTATAGCCAGAGAACAAAGGTTATATGTGTTTTCTATTTGAACAATGCTTTAAAAGTTTTGAACCAAAGACAACAGAAGGAGAATGGAGTTTCTCTGAAGTGCCTCGTACTTCTCTATGTCGGGCTGGAAGGAATAACTTATCACCATTGATGCTAAGCCTAGCAATGTGCTACAATTTAAATTTATTGTCTTATTTCATCCTTACCAATCCAGAGAGTATGTATGGTGAAACAGCTAATAAACAGGAAAACAAGGGCCAAGAGGCAGTATTAGGCGTAACCTGCGTCCCGCAGCTCTAAGTGACTGTACAGATTTGGCCCCAGTCTGTGCTCCTCCACGAGACAATCCTGCCTTATTTGGGGTAGGTGGACACACTTGCTTTTAGAAGATGCTCTGGCAATGCCTTTACCTCCTTCAATTACCAAGTTTAGTGTTTATCAACCCTATGAAAAAGAAAAATTGGGATATAGGAACAGTAATCTATTGAAGTCATAATCAGTCATGACCCGTTTACAAATACTACCATCCAGGCATCAAATTAGGCATTGAAGATACAAAGACATTTCAAAATCAATATGTTTACAACTGAACTTCATACAAATCTATCCTATGTCAGCTGTTTTGAATCTTCTATCTCTAAGAATTGGCCTCACCATCTACCTATTCACCAAGGCTCTGCACTTTCTATACCCACTCCTCCATCACTCTTCAACCCACACCAAACTATTGGGTTGTCGAAAAAGTCATGATGCATTTTTGCAATGAAAAACATAGAAAAAATACGTCATGACTTTTCCGACAACCCAATATATATGAAACCTTCCTCCAATCATCAAATACAATTATTAACAGAGAATTTGGGTCTCATAAATACTTAATCAAAACAGAACATCTGTCTCTTTTATTGGCAAATAGTAATGTAGTGTATAGTGTTGTAAATGCACTACACAGTTTTTTTTTCTGTTTTGATGGGAATCATGCAAAATAGAACTTAGGATAACTTTCTGTGTTTGTAGGGCATATTTGTAGCAGTACCACAATGAGTTTGGGTATGCAGATGCATGTTTTATAAATTCCATTTATCAATAGTATAAGCAAACTGGTCAAACTGTGCTAGAAGACTCAATTATTTTTCTCTTATCGCTATTAAAAATATATTATAATTATCATATGTTATCATAAGCAGAAGCAGTCGAAATATGCAGCCAAAATATGGAAAAAATATAGAAATGTGACAGACACTTAATAAAAATATTAATTTTCTGCTATTTGTCATATTTTAAATGTTTGTTAGTTCTGATTTCTTTGCTTATATTAAGTAGATACCCATATTTTCCCCTCATTTTACATTCTTAATTTTGCATTTTTTAAAAAAAGGGCTCACAAAAGCTTCAGGTTTCATAAAAGTTTCAGGTTTGCAACGAAAAACAGAGAAAAAATACGTCATGACTTTTCCAACAACACAATATATAAATCCTACTAAACCCAGACTAGATATAT